CACCCACAACCCCACCACACAACTCTCCCTCTTCACCCCACAACCCTACCCTCACCCCACTCCACACAACCCCACCACACAATTTTCCTTCTTCACCCCACAACCCCACCCTCACCCCATCCCCCACAACCTACCCCCACAGCTCTCCCTCTCCACTCCTACACAACCCCACAGCACCCTCACCCCCCACCCCCAGAACCCCATCCCCACCCACGACCCCACCCTACAACTCTCCCTCTCTACCCCCACACAACCCCACCCCAACCTTCCCACAATCCCACCCCCACTCACCACCCACAACCCCCATAACAACCCTCCCCCCACAACCCCCCACCCCACTCACCCCCAGAACCCCACCCTTACCCCCACAACAACCTACCCCTACAACCCTCACCCCCCACACAACCCCTCACACAACCTTCCCCACACACACCCCACCCCTACCCACCCCCCCTACCCCCTTCTAACCTTATTAGACACATCGAAGTTGAGTGTGGTTTCCGTCTGGTCGTCGAAGTCCTGCTGCGCCTGCGCGTTGCTCTGGATGGCGTCGTATAAGAGTGTCAGCGCCTTGAGGATTTCTTGCACGGCGTATCCGTCGCTTTGGTAGAGCTTCTTGGTGTTCAGGCGGACGTGGGCCTTCGCTGCCTGTTTGGGGTGGGGAAGGGGGAAGGGGGGGAATAAGGGGAGAGGGGGGAAGGGGGAAGGGGGGGAGGGGGGAAGGGAGAGGAGAGGGAGGGAGGGAGGAGGGGGAGGGGGGAAGGGAAGGGGGGAGGGGAGAGAAGGGGAGAGGAGAGGGGAAGGGGGGAGGGGAGAGAGAAGGGGAAGGGAAGGGGGGTTAGTGGCTGTTGTTTTCATTGAGGAAAAAAATATTAAGAGGAAAAAAAATATATAAAAAAAATAGTGTTGACTGTTTTCTTTCCTTTTTTTAGTGTATTTCTCAGAAAATGCAAATTATTATTAATTCTTATATATATGTATTTTTTCCATAGGCATACAGTTTCATCGAACTTTTAACTGTACTGTTTTTTTATGTGGATATTACTAAATTTAAAATTTAATTGTACGTTTTAATTATGATTTTTCTTATTCAAAAGCATATTTTAATTTTGATCGATTTTGTATATTAATTTTTTTGTCCATTTTTTTTCTCCTCGTCAAAAATGATCAATGATAAATGTATGACGGGAAAGCGTTTCGAATATACACAGAAATATACACCGATGCACACATTTCACGCCCAGAAAATATATGCACACACACACATACACAAATTCTCGCTCCTTTTTGCTCCTTTTCTTCTTTTCCTCTCTCTCTCTCTCTCTCTCTCTCTCTCTCTCTCTCTCTCTCTCTCTCTCTCTCTCTCTCTCTCTCTCTCTCTCTCTCTCTCTCTCTGCCTCTCTCTCTCTCTCTGCCTCTCTCTCTCTCTCTCTCTCTCTCTCTCTCTCTCTCTCTCTCTCTCTCTCTCTCTCTCTCTCTCTCTCTCTCTCTCTCTCTGCCTCTCTCTCTCTCTCTCTCTCTCTCTCTCTCTCTCTCTCTCTCTCTCTCTCTCTCTCTCTCTCTCTCTCTCTCTCTCTCTCTCTCTCTCTCTCTGCCTCTCTCTCTCTCTGCCTCTCTCTCTCTCTGCCTCTCTCTCTCTCTGCCTCTCTCTCTCTCTGCCTCTCTCTCTCTCTCTCTCTCTCTCTCTCTCTCTCTCTCTCTCTCTCTCTCTCTCTCTCTCTCTCTCTCCTCTCTCTCTCTCTCTCTCTCTCTCTCTCCCTCTCTCTCTCTCTCTCTCTCTCTCTCTCTCTCTCTCTCTCTCTCTCTCTCTCTCTCTCTCTCTCCCTCTCTCTCCCTCTCTCTCCCTCTCTCTCCCTCTCTCTCCCTCTCTCTCCCTCTCTCCCTCTCTCTCTCCCTCTCCCTCTCTCTCCCTCTCTCTCTCTCTATCCCTCTCTCTCTATCCCTCTCTCTCTATCCCTCTCTCTCTATCCCTCTCTCTCTATCCCTCTCTCTCTATCCCTCTCTCTCTATCCCTCTCTCTCTATCCCTCTCTCTCTATCCCTCTCTCTCTATCCCTCTCTCTCTATCCCTCTCTCTCTATTTCCCTCTCTCTCTCTCTATCCCTCTCTCTCTATTTCCCTCTCCCTCCCTCCCTCCCTCTCTCTCTCTCTCTCTCTCTCTCTCTCTCTCTCTCTCTCTCTCTCTCTCTCTCTCTCTCTCTCTCTCTCTCTCGCTCTATCATTCCCCTTCTCTCATTTCATCCCACCCCCTTCCTCCATCTTTTGCTTTCCCTCTTATCCTCTTCTCTCACTTTCTTCCCTTTCCATCTATCCCTCTCTCCCATTCAATCTCTTTCACATTCCTCTCTCTCCTCCTCCCCTCCCTCTATCCCCTCCACCCTCTTCCTTCCTCCCCTCCACCCTTTCCCTGTACCCTTTCCCTCCTACCCTCCCTCCGCCCCATCCTCCCCACCCTTACCCCACTTTTTCCCTCCACCTTCTCTCTCCCACCCTTCCCTCCCTTTCCCTTCCTCCCTTTCCTACCACCACCCCCCCTATCCCCACCCCATTCACATCTATCCACCCCCACCTATCTCCACCCTCACCCCCACCCCATTCCCCACCCTCACCCTTCCACCCCCACCTATCCCTCCCCACACCCCTTCCTATCCCCCGCCCTCACCCCCACCTATCTCCACCCTCATCCTTCCACCTATCCCCTCCACCCTCACCCCTACCTATCCCCTCCTACCCTCACCCCCTCACACCCACCCTCACACCCACCTATCCCCCCACCCCCACCTATCCCCACCCCTCACCCCCCTCCCACCCCTTCCATCCCCGACTCACCATGAACTGCGCGACGGACCGGATGAAGATGACCCGATCCTGCTCGGTGTCCACGTCGGTCGGGAGGTCGGCGGAGGGGTCGAAGCGCCCGACCAGCCACACCAGGATCTCCGACACCAGAGGGAAGTTCGGGCTGCGGAAGTTCTCGACGGAAATCAGGCGGCGGAAGCCCAGGGAACGCAGCATCTCCGCGCAGTCTGGTGGTGGGAGGGAGGGAGGGTGGGAGAGGGAGGGAAGGGAGGGAGGGAAGGATGGGGAGGGAGGGAAGGGGGAGGAGGGGTGGAGGTAGGGGTGGTAGAGGGAGAGGAAGGAAGGAGGTGGAGGGGGGAGGAGGAGGGAAGGAGGTGGAGGGAGTGGGGGAGGGGTGGAGGTAGGGGTGGAGGGGTGGAGGGGATAGAGGGAAAGGGAAGGGGTTGGTGGAGGGAGTGGGTGATGGGGGAGGTAGGGGTGTTGAGGGAGTGGGGTAAGGAGGTGGAAGGGGAAGGACAAGGAGGGGTTAATACTGTGTTCATTTAGTTGTTATTGTTATTTATGCTTTATTAATTGTTGTAACTAGTCTTATTTCTCATTTCTTTAATTTTCAGAATTGATGCTGTTACAATCTTCTTATATAATCATTATTATTATTAGTTATACCATTATCATTATTAGTAGTAATATCAATATAATTGTCGCTAATTTCATTACATTAATCTCATAATTACTATCACCTTATTAATTCTCTATCATTCTCATTATTACTTCTATCAAAATCACTTATCGATAACATCCCCTCTATTAATATTATCATTACTACTATTACAGCTACTACTATCATAACTATTGCAACTGCCATCATAATTATCATCATTATCATTATCAAGCCATACGTTTTAATACTTTATCTCGATTTTTGTATGTTCTTTGATGAATAACTGCGCCCTACATTGGCCTCAGAAAATTAAAAGAGGAAAATAGAGCGAAATGCATTAATTCATATACAAATAGCAGTTCAAATGCATATTGCAAAGGTCAACAGGAGATGTTTTGCATTGTATTGGGTCTAGGTTGGTAAATTGATGATATCTTCTTTTCTATTTTAATGTTATTATAATCATTGTTATTAGCATTAGTATTAGTATCACTGTTGTTGCTGTCAGTAAGATTGTCATTATCCTTAACATTGTTATTGTTATCACAATTATTATTTTACAATCGTTACAGATACCTTTATCAGTGGTATCATTATTGTCATTATCATCTTCATCTTCACTGTCATTATCATATTTTTATTCTTTTTTTCTTATTTTATTTGGTTAATAATTGTCATTTAAAATTTACATTGAACTTAGTATTGTATCGTTCCCCAGTGCTCTTACTTTGAATATGATTATTCGATTCTTTCAACAACACTAAAAAAAAAAACATGATATATAGTCTGATAAAAAAAATAATAAAAAATTGGATGACTATCTATTTGTCTATCCAATTATTTACTTCTCCGTCCGTTCTAACTCTCCCTCATAACAGAAAAGTTTTTTCTTTTTTTCTTTTTTTTGCATTCTGTTCTTTCTCTTTATAATACCAAACATATTTCAAAATCTTTCGCAATCCACATAAGTTATCAGAACTTTCAAAATGAGAAACCGAGTGAAATTTCTCAAATTCGCTTATTTAAACTCATCGTATATATATGAAAGCCACCCTCTATACACCGGTTATCATTTCTGTTACCAATAAGAATAAACTTGCAGTCTCATTGATGACACTTCTTAATTCTCTGTATGAAATTTCTCTAATTTTCGCCTATTTAAACTCATCGTATATATATGAAAGCCACCCTCTATACACCGGTTATCATTCCTGTTACCAATAAGAATAAACTTGTAGTCTCATTGATGACACTTACTTCTTAATTCTCTGTATGAAATTTCTCAAATTTTCGCCTATTTAAACCCATCGTATATATATGAAAGCCATCCTCTATACATCGGTTACCATTCCAGTTATCAATAAGAATAAACTTGTAGTCTCATTGATGACACTTACTTCTTAATTCTCTGTATGAAATTTCTCTAATTTTCGCCTATTTAAACTCATCGCATATATATGAAAGCCATCCTCTATACACCGGTTATCATTCCGGTTATCAATAAGAATAAACTTGTAGTCTCATTGATGATACTTACTTCT